GGGGGTGGGGAAGAGGGTTGAGGGATAATATATTTACTTTTTTTTTTAGACAGTTCCATAATTCTCATCATAATGTCCAATTAGTGTTTGTTTGCATTTAGCTTACCAAGCCGGGGATGAAAAATTAATAGCACAAATATGTTCATCATGGTTTATAGGCTCGATTTCTATTGCCACATGAGTGAGCAGCTGGTGAGCGAAGTCCACGTTGGTGAAGGTAGACAGTCAAATAAATCCTGTAAATTGCAATTGTTTGGATGTCTGCCACACTTACTTAGCAAGATGCTTCTGTCACTACAAACGGTATCATCTTTGCTGGCACGCTGTGGTTTGTCGTTATGCATTAGCTGTCGGGATGGATAATGCATCCTCTGGTATAAAAACAGCCAATATATATCAAACACTTGGGAAAGTGTTTCACCACATACCAAACACCTAAAATTGCATCAAAAATACAGGCTATGCTGTGCTATGATTTGGACTGTCTTCTCGGTGTTTGAAAATGTGTTGAATTGTTGTCATGTTTGTTATGATCATGAGATAGAATTTAAAGAGAAACAACATCAGGTAATACAGGTTTCACAACTTTTTTCTCAAAGTTATTCCTTTTATTTACTGTAAGATCCACTGCTTGCCTGACTGGTAGAAAAATAAAAAAGGTAACAAACTCAAGAATTGCAAAGAAAACTCACCACCCGGCTGTAATTAAATACACAATGAATTTTGTAAAAACAAATAGTATATGTATTAAAGAAAGGAGACGGATTATTGTAGAGTAGCACAAGCAGTGCATATCTTGTAGATCAGCTATTTCTATTGTCTATTTGTGGTAAGTAAGATTCTCTTGTAAATTTGTTATCACCCATAAACCTTTTTCATAACAGTTTTTATTGGCCCTTTACAGTGCCAAGATGGTAATCAAAGGCAGTTTAGCCATCCAGAGGTACTCATATCCTCAGATCTCACTTCTCCAATGGGGAGGAGACCCTGGAGGAGGCCGTGGAGGAGGCCAGACAGGAAAAATGCAATAAATTCAAATTCCCTCCTATGCATTTATTTGTAAATTAGTTCTTACTGAACACATAATAGATATAAATCATCTCCTTCACCTATAAGAACAATGAGGTTGAAATTTGCAAAATTTTAAGAATACTGCAAAGAATAAACCTAAGGCTTAGGCTGAAAAGAACATAATTTTGTGCGTTGAAAATTCGTAATTACAATACAGTTATGTTTCTAACCCTAACCTAAACCGTATTAAATTCTTCATTTCTCTAAACAGCAAAACTAGCCAAAAAGCAATGAAAACAGCACTAGCCAAATGTGCAATGCTAATAACATTTCTGCAAGAAGTTACTGTGCATTGTTTTGAGAAGTCTTTAATGTCTGCTGGCTGGCTCAAAAATTGCTTTAATAACACCATCCAGACACCAAAAACATTTGACAACAGAAATGTCATAACCTGTAAGGTTTTTATTCTGTTCATTGACTGATCCAGACTCTAAGTGATTGTAGAAAACACGTGCGTATCTATTTATGGTAAATATTATCCCTTAACACATGATGTGTTAATCAATAACCACACTAAAGAATATTCACAAGAATATTTTTAACCTAAAATCGGCAGAATAAAATTATTCAGCCGCAGCAGAAAAAATCAATATGTATTATTTTTATCGAATTTTAAATCTAAAACTTTACTGACCCTTGTTTTTTTGCTACGGAAAATCGTTTCTATTTTCTTGTGTCTGGAAACGTATTCCTTAAAAATAGACTTTCCGTCTGTTTTAGGTTTAGGCTTATTTCAAATTTTTTATTTCAAATACACTCTTTTCAGTTCTAATAATATAAACATAAACAAACGCGTCAAACTCTCTCATCCCGGCCCTTAGCTCTACTTTGTTTCCGTACGCAGAAAATCCAATTGTGCATGAATATTGGACAGCAAAAACAGCATATAAGGCCGCTTGTGGCGAGCCGCAGCTCGCTAGCTGTCGGAATAACTGTATTATACTTCATAATGCTCGTTATGTACCGTATTTTCCCGAGCTTATTTCCATTTGATGGTATAGGTTACATCTTTTAAATTAAAATCTAACGCAAAAGATTCACCTTCCGAATCGTTAACAGCAGTCCGATTCAACATCACCTGAAATGAACTGCAATACAACCTCCTATAAGCTCTCTAAGCTCTTTCTCATTCATATAAACACTCGCCACGTCCGCCATATTTCTTTAGGATGTATTTAAACCAATCAGCCTGTTCGTGTGAATGGGCCAATCAGCAAGGGTGTTAGTTCAGAGCTGCCAAGGGTCTTCTCCCGACAAGCCGCCATTTTGAAACTCGTCGAGGAGAAGACCCTGAGGACGAGCCCCGGGTAAGAAATTTGGCCGAGCGAGACTAAGTTCTTGGGAAAGAAACATGGCGGACTTCCGTAGGCGGAAAGCGTCTGTAAAGTTTTGTAAACGTTTTGCTTGCTTCGCGTTCAAAAATCTAAAGGAAAGTTCCAGTTGCCCTACATCTAAATTCTGAACATTTTGCGAGAGCGGGGATGAATACTGCACTGTAAACCTGTGAGCGGGAACAATGTGGATGCAATGTGGATGCTAGGAAGCAATGTGGCATGGATGTTTATTACAGTGTGAGCTAGATTGCGGTCATCACGGTGTAATATTCCATTGGAGCATTTTTTCAGTGTGTGTAGTGGTCTTATATCGACGGGATAAACCGAAGTATTTGTGTATTCCTGGACTCCGTGTTGGTAAGGGTTACCTTTTTGAACAGCTTCGTGACCCTTCTATTTGCACTTTTAACTCTGTCAGTTAATTAAAATTAAAATTAACTGACAGAGTTATACAGAGTTATAGCACGTTTCATAGTGAGAACAGTAGGGCGCTTTTCTGTGACGTTAAGCTTGAGGATTTTGCCTCTCACCGAAAAACTTAAAACTACAAGAGGTCTGTTTCAGTTTCAGACAAAGCATCTCAGTGGCATTATTTATCAAAGTGAATATTGGATAGGTCCCTCGGCAGAATTGAGAATCATCACCATCTCTTTCGTCCATAGTTGACACTCATAATTCATGTTTTTGATTCTTCATAATCATCCTCAGACTCTTGTTTTGATCTTGTAGATATTAATCTGCCCAATCAAGTAGTTGTGATAGAGATTGTCCAGGAAGTTTGACTTTACTATCTCATTTTGTTGCCCTTTTTGTAGCCCCTGGCACTGTTCTTTTTTTTTTTTTTTTNTTTGCTGCCTCTGAAACAGTTTTCAAACAGTTCATGCTCCCCTATGGCACCAAGAATTGCCATTTGAGACAAGTATTGTTAAAGGCTGCATTCATCTGACTTTATTTTAGCCTTCCTTGTCTTATTTAACTGTCCTTTCATTACAGGAACTAGCTACTGATAGGAAACACTTTAGGCCAAATCAGATGTGTTTAAATCCTTACTCATCTCTTTGCCTTAGAGGAATAAAACAAACATCCCTTGCACTTGATATAACTTCTTGTTATTCTCCACAGCCGTGGAGCGAAGTATCAAAATTGGCCTATTTCGCCCTTGTGGAGGTTCTGTTGACTCAGGTTTGTCCAAGCTAAAGTCAGTTTTCTGGATAAATGACCATTTTGCCTGTCTACCTCATAACTAACTAGCACACACATACAGGTAACATGGCTCATTTGCCTTTCCCTTTCCAGAAGAGTGTATGACAGCCGTATTTTGATTTCCAGAAGTATGACAGAGTTTTCTTCCACTCAAGGATAACAAAGCATGTTATTTTAGTAATCATAATTAACAAGTACATATTGTGGTATGTTGAATTCAGAGAGAAAGCGAAAATTACTATTTTTGATTTTGGCTTTGCGTACATGTTTAAAACCGACGTGGGGTAATTTAGTCAGTTTATGAAAGAAATGCAAAACAGCAAAGATACTACAAAGCTAGTTGCCATGATAACAACCAGCAAAACCATCTATTTGCATTCTAATTACTCTATCTCATTTCTATGAGCATAGTTAATAGAGAGAAATGGTTAGGAAACATTGGTAACGTTCTGTGTTGTATGTTTTTGTTGGCTATTTTGGGGGATTGACCCTGCACAAAACCTGGCAAAATACAAAAGGTGGTTATGTGTGCTCATACAACTAACCAACAGAAGCATTGTGATAATGTAATCCATGCATAGTCTATGAACATAAAACAAAAGATGTGCCGGGTCAGGGACCTTCCAACATAAATCTTAGTCTGTTTGTGTGCTTCGTTTATGTTACCGGCCTTCCTAACCACTTCCCTCTATTAACTATGCTATGAAGGGATGATTCTGCCAACAAAACATTATTGTGTACTAAAATCTATTTGAAGAAATACTTTACAGGTATGACAGCCCCCAGGGAAACACTCTAATTGCATTCCGCTAACTCTGTTTCATTTGGATAGGAAAAATTGTCTGAACCAACCTTTTGTGTGTAACTGGATCTCACACACATGTTGGCAAAGAAGTATAACTAAATGACGCCAAGATATAGGGCTTGATTTAGGAATGACTTCGTTGTAAGATTAATCATGTTAGAAAGAGAAATATAGAAAACTCAACTTAATTGCGTTAGGAAAGAAAGACAAGAAGACACTGATCTAGCCAAGGGCGAATTTTAGCAGGAACTAGCAAAAGCCTTTGTCGTTATACTCGTCGGTGTTACAAACAGGAATCAGTCAATCTTGTTAAAATTAGGTGAATAGAACCACTTTTCAGATAAATTTACAGGTAACATGGCTCATTTGCCTTTCCCTTTCCAGAAGAGTGTATGGCAGCCGTATTTTGATTTCCAGAATTATGACAGAGTTTTCTTCCACTCAAGGATAACAAAGCATGTTACTTTAGTAATCATAATTAACAAGTACATATTGTGGTATGTTAAATTCAGAGAGAAAGCGAAAATTACTATTTTTAATTTTGGCTTCTCATACATGTTTAAAACCAACGTGGGGTAATTTGGTCAGTTTATGAAAGAAAGGCGAAGCAGCTAAGATACTACAAAGCTAGTTGCCATGATAACCAGCGAAACCATCTATTTGCATTCTAATTACTCTATCTCATTTCTATGAGCATAGTTAATAGAGGGAAATGGTTAGGAAACATTGGCAACGTTCTGTGTTGTATGTTTTTGTTGGCTATTTTGGGGGATTGACCCAGGCTGCACAAAACCTGGCAAAATACAAAAGGTGGTTATGTGTGCTCATACAACTACATGTAACCAACAGAAGCATTGTGATAATGTAACCCATGCATAGTCTATGAGCATAAAACAAAAGATGTGCAGGGTCAGGGACCTTCCAACATAAATCTTTGTCTGTGTGCTTCGTTTATGTTACCGACCTTCCTAACCACTTCGCTCTATTAACTATGCTTTGAAGGAATGATTCTGCAAACAAAACATTATAGTGTACTAAAATCTATTTGAAGAAATACTTTACAGGTATGACAGCCCCCAGGGAAACACTCTAATTACATTCCGCTAACTCTGTCTCAGGAAAAATTGTCTGAACCAGCCTTTTGTGTGTAACTGGATCTCACACACGTGTTGGCAAAGAAGTATAACTAAATGACGCCAACATAGGGCTTGATTTAGGAATGATTTTGTTGTAAGATTAATCATGTTAGAGAGAGAAATGTAGAAAACTCAACTTAATTACGTTAGGAAAGAGAGACAAGAAGATACTGATCTAGCTAAGGGCGAATTTTAGCAGGAATTAGCAAAAATCTTTGTCGTTATACTCGCCGGTGTTACAAACAGGAATCAGTCAATCTTGTTAAAATTAGGTGAATAGAACCACTTTTCAGATAAATTTGAATGCCTTATTGCTGGCATAAGATATTAATTCATGCATCACTTCGTAATAAAAAACAGAAGAAAAGATTGAAAGGCCTAAAAGAATTTGAAGTCATTGTTAGAATTTGTGAATATCGGCTATCTTAAAGATCCTTCCTTTTCCTCCTTTGATTGGTTATGTTGAAAAATTTGAAAAAATGGTGTTGATGGTGATGATGGTTATTAACACCGTTCGAGAGAAAGCCTTAAATGCTACAGATATTTCATATGAATATTTTTTTGTCTTGCCGGTGAGTTGGTAGCACAGTATTTGTACTCTCAGTTCTCCTGTAGTTCCAAAAGGAGATTCACAAACCAAAAAATATCTAGTAACTGAAACAGGTGGTCAGTGGGCGAGGAGCACTTAGTCTAAGAAAACTACTTCGCAAATTAATTCGATTGAGATACGTCGTTCCTTTCTCAAAAGAGTCCCTTGTCAATCATGTGTGATAGACGTTTTAATGTTATTTCAACCTGCAGCAGAAAAGAACCTTAGATCATTTAACTGTGACCTCTTGTACACATTTGAGAATATTCATGTTCTCGTTTTCTCCTTTAAAGCAAGATCAAACCAAGGGACAGTGCTTCACAAAAAGTGTTAATATGGACGACAGCTCCTATGTTGGTTTGATACAAGGTGTGATAGCCTAGACTCAATCATATTCAGAACTGCCACGTTATCAAAGTTTCTAGAGAAATTAATCTGTGAGGAAAGGAGTGGTATGGAGGGCAAATAGAGAATACTTTAGGTTCTGATTGCATGGTTTTCTTTTCAGCTTATAACTGACAGCTGTCAATAATTTGTTATTGTGCTAGCTATAAAATGAAATTTTCTGTTTCAATATTGCTAAAGAACTGAAGTAAGGAAAACAAATAAGGAGGAACATTATTTGAATTATGCTGAATCCCTTC